CCCCCCCCAAGTAGTTCTCTTCATTAATTGGAATTTGTTACCAGGCAACTGCTAAGTAACCGAGTGGCAGATTTCTCAAGGACAAGAGTACCAGATGGAATTGAACTGAAACCCCAAAGCACTGTTGCAGAACAGAAGGTAATTTGGCCATTTGTAGAGGGGTGGGTACAGCGTGCGTGGGGAGCCACATCATTAATGTGATGAACATTGCAGCCACTTCTTCGGGACAGCCTTTTCACCATGAAGTCCTGTTCAGTCCTTTCAAATTATAGCCATAAGCCTTGAGAAAACATGAACTGTTTCAGGTTTTGTGTGTCCTATAAGTATGTGTACAGTTAGCTACAAAATTTTGCATCTCTGTCCTAGTTATTGACTTGCTAGTACTTTGTGATGTCAACATATTCCCTGAACACACTGGAGGAATTCAAAAGAAAGCAATGCTATTGATTAGAGGCAATGTCCATTGTTGGCATTTTTAAATATGGTGACTTTTTTTATTCCAATTTAGAGAGAAGTGTTCTTTACTACTTAAAATGTTGACCACAGGAGGAAAAAAAAAGTCACTCTAGACTGGGTGAAAATGGGTATCTTCTCATCTGCCGTGTTCTGGTTCCTTCCCAGCTGTAATGTCTAGCAAAGACTTTGAGTCCTGTTCATTTTCCTCARTGATAAATAGTAGTGCAGAAAAGATGAAGTCACACAAAGCAGAACAATGATCTTTGTGGTCAAAACCAAAAATATAGTAATAAGGCTTACACACAAAGCCAGATCACTTCTCATTCTGTGGAATGTATTTTCACTTCACAGAGGAAATAAATTGCTATGAAACTGTTTTCCCCACTTCTGCTAACGTGAGCTGTGGAGGAGCTAGGAGGGAAAAAACAAAAAAGTTTCTTTTGCCCCAGGTGTGATTTCTAAGCTTCAGATTCTGCTTCGAAGAAGGAATTATAAACAAGGAATCAGGCCAAACTGTAATCTCAGCAGCTCACACTGTTTGCCTTCCTCAAATCTAACCTGAACCTGAGCYGTTATTTTGAAGTTTATTGATCCATACCAGAAATGAAAGAATTTCATTTCCACCAATTCAGAACAGCAGCATGACAGAAATGGCTGTGCTGCATTAAACCATTTCACCTTCATGGTTGCTCCATCTCCACCGTCGTGGTTGAGAAGGAATAAAAATCCTCCAGCCTCTCTCCAACCTCCCCTTCCCAGCACCAGAGCTCTTCCCTKGTCTCCACCTCAAGCCTGCTCTTTTCTTTCCTGTGGTGAGAACAACCCAATGCCTTTCCTTTCTCCTTATAGCTGGAGATTGACAGTTTGAGGGAAAGAAGGATTGGGGGGGTCTTGGAGTGCCAGATTGGGGATCAGGTGGATGGAAAAGGTGAAGGTCCCATTTTCTGGTAGGCTTGGGGAGGGAGTCCAGAGCATAAATTTATTTTCTGGATAATTACTGACTTTTAAAAGGTAAACATCTTTTATTTTAGAACTATCTCCTTGGGATAGGCATCTTTTGGCAGGATTCAAATAATGTTCAGTAGTGAAACATGACCGTGACTTTGTGTGATGCTGCATAACTTATGTAGTTCACAAGTAAATCCTCAGAACTGGTGGGATATCCTACAAGGAGGACTACAAAATCAACCTTACGGTATTGGCAAAGTTGAAAATGGATCCTGCTCCATGTGGTCATTCTAAAAGAACGTTTCCTAACTCAGTAGATGTAAAGTAGCAATCAAATTAATAAGGTGCAACTGAATGCAGGTCCTGAATCAAGAAGTGCCTGCCTCTGACCTTGGTAGAGATCACATCTATAGGGTTAGGTCAAGTCATTTTATTTTCTGTCTCACTTATCTCTGAGGATGAAGTTAGTTCTTTACCTACTACTTGGAGTACGGTGAATAAGTGAGGTTTTTGGAGCTCTTAAAAGGTGAATGTCTTTGTGTGGTTCATCCTTTACCTGATGCACTATGCAGGGTATAATAGTACTCTCCCCTGCATCTTTGTCAGTTCTTGTCCTTGTTAACTGGGTTTGCAGAGTGTACTGGCAGTATGCCAGATGTGGACTTTAACCATGTGTTCTCTTGTGCAGGATCAGATTGTAGGAAAACAACTTTCTAGCACCCAGGAAGGCCTCTGGAGTATAAACAACCAGAACTATCTCCTGCCAGATCTCCTCCAGCAAAGCCAAGTTTCAGACTCTTCTGTGAACCAGTTAAAAGTACCACTAACTATCCAGGAACCTCAGAACAAATCTGTGAATAAGGTACRCAATAAAATTAGATTTGTTAGATTGAAAATGCACGCAAACCCAAAAGCTTAGTGGGTTTTTCCCTCTGCTTCTTTAATATTATCAGTACAGCACTCTGGCCTGCCTCTACTCACTGTCTCCAGGTTGCCTTCAGCACAGGTGTCAGCTGATGGTACGCAGGAGCAGGGACCAGGGAAACACATCTTGGCAGCTTCAAGAAGCTCTAATCGTGCTGTGAGCACAGGGGATGCTACATCTCTCTCTTGAGGAGAAGCGCGTTACTGGAAGTAGATAATAGCTCTGTCATGAGATGGGTCCTAAAAACAGCCTTACTTCAGGCAATAGCTTCCTCCTTGGAGAAGGACATTGCTCAAATCCCTGGGCTGGTGATGAGACAGGGCAGTGTGTGAGGAGACTGTTGCTCTCTCTCTCCCCTTCTAGGGACCAATTATTTCATTGCAGTGCGCTGTCTAGCCAAGAATCCTGACACAATCTTTGTGCAGGCTTCCTGTTTTTGTCGCTGGATTTGTACCGTGTATCTGCTGCTGTATTTGTCACATCTATTTATGCCACATGCCATTTCATCTAAACTTCAGAGCCGTTCACACATTGCTGTGTGCTGTCTGCTCCCCTAGCGTTGTCTTCCTGAATACACCTTGTTTTTCATTGTAGACACCGTGCACTGAAAGTACGCCTTCAAAAAGCAGTACATCATCTACAACATCATTTACTTCATTCATAGATCCTAGACTTCTGCCAATCACCCCTCCCACCAGTCCAGTAGGACCTCCCTGTAGTTCTCGTGAGTATGCTTTACCCTTTGAATATAATGCCGTTCCTTGGCCTTTTTTTCTCCTTTTTYGAGTGAGTGGAGAGGGCACAGGGAAGGTTTATTTGCTTGAAAATTGAAACTGTCACTAATATCTCAAGAAACTGAAACTGCACATTGCTGAGCTTCATTGTACAGCTTCAGAGTGCAGCTTGCTCTACTTTACATACTTAAGAATACATGAGAAATTTTCTGTTTTTTTTCGTTTGTTATATTATGCTCCCAAGTTATTTTCCGATCTTTGTGGGGTCTGCCATAAACAGGCCAAATAAGAGACAAACATTCACATTTTTCATGATTCCATATGTCTTTTCTTCTAGCATCTAGTGCCAAACCTGAGCCTGTCAGGAGAGAGAATGTGAGGAAGGGCTCTGTTGTCAACGTTAACCCAACAAATATCCGCCCGCAGAGTGACAGCCCAGAAATCCGTAAATACAAGAAGAAATTCAACTCGGAGATTCTGTGTGCTGCTTTGTGGGGTAAGCTCAGAAGCACATGGGCTTGTGTATGGAGGGAAGGCAGCAGCAGGAGCAGTTGTCAGCGTGTGCCAGTCAGGTTTTGTAGTTGAATTGCACATCTCCTGTTTGGAAATCTGGAGTTGTTGACTAAGTATGTAGCTATAGACCACTCTCAGGATACTGCCTGTGCCCTAAAAGGTGGCAAACAGATGTGCTACAGTTGCAAAGGATTTTGTGCATCAGCAAAAGAAAACATTTTGAATGGACACGAGTTAAAGCTGTGCTTGCTGAAGGAGCCATAAAGTGCAAATGTTTTAATAATGTGAAAAAAAGAAGGTTTTGATGCTTTGTCTCTCTTACCTGAATAAATGTTGAGGTGAATGTGCTAAGTTCTGCCTGGGCATCCATCAAGGAGTAAAAATGCTTCAAGTTCTGTAAACTTTTGTTGTTGTGTTAGTTCTTCCAAGTATCCCCCTGTGAGAATTCAAGCAATCAGAGATTGAAGCACATTTCAGGCATCAACCTTTCCAAATAGTCTCCTTCTCTAGTTTCCACCTTGCTGGATCACCCTTTTTACAGGGTCAGCTTCACATGGCATGAGACCAAGATCAGTGTAGAAAGATTGATTCTCAACAACTGAACTTGACCCAGTCTTACAGCAGCTAAATTCTTGAGCTGTTTTAACCATCTGTCTACTTCTGAAGAAAAGGGTGTATTCTATGGGAGTCACTGAGCCATTTACCTGTAGTCATTTCTTGAGTCTGGAATGAAAAATTCATGTAGCAGGTGAAACATTAGCTAAAGGAAGTACAGTTTTCCAGTTTGCAGCTTTACAAGTTTCATGTAATATATGTTTGAGGAAGCTCAAGCTTTTAAATTAAAAATGGGGCTGTGCAGCAAGGTGTGTAAGTAAACATGTGCTGGGGCTGAAGAGCAACCGGTACTCAGCAGAGCATTGCCAGTAAAAGTTTGGTTTGTTTGTTACATCAGGGTACCTTATGTCATTTCTTTTAGAACCTGCTGACTAGGAAATGTAACTGTCATTGCAACCAAACAAAATTTTTATACAGAGTGCATCCTCCATAGATTCATTCRTAGAGGTCTTTCACCGAACAACAGGAAAATTACCAGCTACCATTAGARAAGACCAAGTAAAAATCAATTCTAAAAATAATTAACACTGAGTAAGATTGGAATCATTAGGTGATTTATATTGTACTTTTTACTGTGTATTAACAGGAGTGAATTTACTGGTTGGAACAGAGAATGGGTTATGGCTGTTGGACAGAAGCGGGCAAGGAAGAGTTTATTCCCTAATTACAAGAAGACGATTCCAGCAAATGGATGTTCTGGAAGGACTCAATGTGCTAATTACTATATCAGGTTAGTTCAGTGTCTAAAAGTATCTGACCTGCATTGGGTTTGGGAGCAATTAAAAAGAAGAATTAGGTTATAAACTAGGTTGAGGAATTTGCTCGTACAGAAAATCACAGSACAGTTATTCCTGTTAACAGGAAAACAATCTTGAATCTTCAACATTTACATTCGCATTTTGGATTCAGATGAGGYTTCGGGATATTTCATTACCTGGTTAATATGTAAAATGGTTTGTGGGAGGTATAATGTGTGTCATATCCTTAAAATGAGCTGGTTCTCAGCAAGTAATAGTTYGTCAGTTTGTGTTTTGTTTATGTGTTCCTGTGATGGATGAGCACTGATTAAAGTGGAATTCCATTAAAATATCATTAAATAACCTCATTCAGTGGTCAAGAAGATGTACAAACAATAATACTGGGGTGATCTATGCTGTGTGAAATTATCAGTAGCATCAAATGGAGTAGCATCTACAGCCTCTRCTGACAAAGAGCTTATATTCTACCTTGGCAAAGCATTTGGCCTCTATTTACCTGTGAGTAAGTGTGTCCTCTAAGTATACTTTGTCCAGAATGAGGTCAGGATGTAGGTCCAGCAGTGCATTGCTGCAATTCCTGCAGCCAAACTCCCAGTGGTAGCTGATGGCAAGAGCTGGTTGTCCCTTATTGCCAGTTTTCAGTTGTTCAGCATGACATGGTCCTTCTCTTTAGGTTTCCACATAATCCTACATCCATATGAAGTAAAGCAATAGAAAAGGTGGCTGCGGTAAAAAATGACAATGTAATTGTCATTCCACAAGACATCCAAAAGAAAATAGCTACCTGTAACGAAGATCAGTAGTTAACTGGAACTAGAGGAGTCGCTTATCCAAAACGGCTGTTGTGGCCACTTATCTGTATTCCTTCCTGCCCAACAGACAGCAAATGCCAGATGATCTGATTATTTCTGATAATACATGCATCTACAGAGACCTATTCTCTGGCCTAAGGGAAGAATTTTAACAGGATATGAAAGTCTTGCATGAAGCTTGAGTTGCATATGTCAAGTGCCATAGGATTGTTCATATTCCAATTGSCCCTTGACTGTCATCATCACACAAGGCTGCTTCCCTGTACTAGCTCTGCAAGTCCTCTTTTCTCACCTTGATGAGGCACAAAGGCCTCTGTATTCAGGGTCACAGATCTCTGCCTTTTTTTGGGTGCGTGAGAGTTTGTGCTTCAGGGAGCTAAATCATTATACCTCTCTCTTCCTGCAAATCCCAGGGAAGAAGAATAAGTTAAGAGTGTATTACTTATCATGGCTAAGAAACAAAATTTTACGCAATGACCCGGAGGTGGAGAAGCGGCAAGGCTGGGTGTCTGTGGGTGACCTGGAAGGCTGTGTACACTACAAAGTTGGTAAGGACTTTTTGGTTTGTCCTTAGAGTTCTGCATGATCATTCTTTGATTAATCATCTTAATCTCACAACACTAGCATTTTAATTTGGCTTTATTTTGGAATTGCACTAGGTGTAATGTCTCTGACTGTTGCCAAATTGCCTTATTTTATGTGGCAGATGCTTTGCTCCCTTGATTTCCAGGTAGCTTCTCTCCTTGCAGTGTTATCAGCTTGCATTACAGCTATTTCCTGCGCAGGTGGTCACAGATTCTTGCTCAGTTTAGAAGCTCTCCAGTTACCTAAGGTCTTTAAAGTAGAGTTATGTTTTCCACATGCGCAGTATTCAACTTCTCTCCTGATTCTGAGTAATTGCTAGTTAGATGAGTAAGATTGGACTAGTAAAGTGCTAGTAAATCATGTTTATAGAGTGTCCATAGGTAGATCAGATTGGACATTGCACAGCTTGTCCTCGTGACTATAGAACAACACCTGAGTATAGCTTTGTTTAAACTCGGGTTTGTTGAGAAGTTTTCAATGCTTCTGTTGTAAGGGTCAAGGAGTAAGCAAGCCTGTCTCCCACATAAAACAAATCTTAACTTTGTTGTATAACACCCTCATCTCCTAAAACTTCCTGTCTGTGAATGCATAACCACAACAATGAATGTATGATGACAGCCACACGTAATGTATAAATGTTGCAAACAGTTACCAGGGTTAACAGACACTATAGGTTTGCACTCAGAATAGTACCACTGGTGATATTAAATGAAAATCAAATATCAAGAAAATAAATATCAAGAAGCCAGTAGTCTCCCTTGCTGCATAGTTTCCCATTCTACGAATAGTCCTGTGAGAAATTACTGCATGTRATTAAGTTGGTTATGGTTTAAGTGTCCATCTGCTACCTTAGAAATTGTTGTTTCTGTTTTACAGTAAAGTATGAGCGAATTAAATTCCTTGTAATTGCTTTGAAAAACTCAGTGGAAGTTTATGCTTGGGCTCCAAAGCCTTATCACAAATTCATGGCTTTTAAGGTAAGTGAAACTTAAACTTCACTTAAACTTCACATGTGGCTCTGTCCCTCACTTACCACCCACTCTTTGCTTTTGCTTTTTGTTGCTTTGCATAACATTTTTATCTAGCTAAAGACAAAATGACTAATCTTTCAAGGAGAACRTAGCTCTCTTGATGTGCATTGGAGATGACAGGCATGAAACTGTCACAGTCATGTTGCTGCTGGATGTAGACACCTTGTTTCAGTGCAGTGCCAAACTGCATGGTTGAATTCACAGAGCTGATGCTGGTTTCCCTCAGAAGAGGGAGGAATTTAACATGAATAGTATTTAGTCTCACTTTTGTCTAGTCCATTTTGGGAATCTTTTGTTTTGCTGTTTGTTTTCAAAACAAACGTGAAATATCCAGATTTCTTTGAAGCTCAATGGGTGAYGGCTTTTAAGTCCTTTAATGCTAAATACAACAGTAACAAAACCAGGTAATGYCTAAGTGCTGAAAATTCTAAAGAAAGATTGTTTGTGTTTGATCTGGAAACCAGCATTTTTATTGTGTTATATAGTGTCTGATTTTTTCTTTTTCCAGTCCTTTACGTCACTTCATCACAAACCACTGTCGGTTGACCTGACAGTTGAAAATGGACAAAGACTAAAGGTGATATATGGCTCCCTAGTAGGCTTTCATGCTATTGATGTGGATTCTGGRTCTGTGTATGACCTGTACCTTCCAACACACGTAAGATATTCCAAAAAAATAAGTAACCGCATCTGTTYGTTGGACTGTATGTTAATGGTGATTGAGTACAGTGCTGTGTTGTATATCAGAAAAAAAAGAAAGAAAGAAAGAAAAGAAACTTTCTTTTCTCATATTCTGAATTTCGATTTTGTAATTGACCAGAAAGCCTGATGTATGGAGAATAGCGTGTTTAATTGGTTTATCCTGGATCTTTARGACTTCTTTAAAGTGTTAAAAGTCACAAAAATATATATGTGAATTTAGGTGATTTTGACAGTCTACCAGTGTGCTTTTGAATATTGATAAAAAGCCAATTAAGACTTTTTTCTTAGGTTTTCAATTTCAAAGGGCACAAAATTGTTCATTTTGGGTTGGTCTGTGCACATTGCATTGTGTGCCTGTTTGCTGGAATGATGTGACCACTATAAGCCTGTTAGAACTTGTCTGACAAAGTCTGCCCACTATGAAGTTTGTGCTCTGGTTTTATTTATTTGCTTGTCTTATAGCGGCAGATAAGTTCTTTTCAAATATGTGGGTTCCAGAAGCCATGGAAACGTGAGGATTTAGGTTTAAAACACTAGTTGATGGTGCTGACTACTCTAGCCTGGCAGGAGGCTCCTGCAGGGCCCTTTTCTCTCTTGAAAACCTCCCTGAAGGCSCCTGTGCTCTCTACTGGGAAAGGCTTGGCTAGTCCAAGTGCTRTTGCCTCACTAGACCCCAGGGCAATGTGACCCAAAGGGAATTTGGGGAATTTTGAAGAAATCCAATTCCAGATCTGCATGTTGTAGCCTGTGCCTTGCACTCATTTTGTTTGTTTGTTTTTGCAATGTTCTCAGCCCTGTGTTTTCCAACCAAACGAATACCCTCGCCTCCTCCACAGCGAGCCACTTGATCACCTCCTGCTCCCCTGAAGTGACTACTGCTCGCCTTYAAATGCTGTCAAAACCAAGTTTACAAACTTCTTTTAATTAAAAGTGACTTTTCTAGATATTCAGAATTACGTGTCYAATCACTTGCTAAAAGCTCTTTTACTAAGAAACTTTCTTTTCCTGTTGAATGATATGTTTGATGCAGCAGTCAGTAGCACCACTAATGATAGGCAGCTGTTGAAAACAGCCATGGCTTTGTAAAGMCAGCGGTGATGCCTCTGTGCCACCCCTGGAAGCAGGTCGCTCCGCGAGGTGACTAATGACTTGTCAGAAAGACCATTAGCATAATTGCCYGAGATTTGAAAGGCAAAGAAAAAAAGCCAACTTTCTTAGCACTTCTAGTCTTACAACAGGCTTCAAATATAATTATGTACGTGATGAGAGAAACTCCCCAGGTGGATGCCCTCAATATGTGGGGCRCCGTTAGGAGGACCCTGCTTCCATTTGTGTGCTTTTCCACCCAAACTTGAGCATGTACTAAAAATACGTTTTCCCTTAAGAGTCTTACACCTGAAATAAATCTACTGCTACGGTGGCTGTGTCTTTTTCAGTATTTTGTTACTTTAAAGAGCACCAGATAGACCAGATAATTCAAGGAGCTTTGTAGTGGCAACAAAGCAGGCGTTAACAGGCTGCCTTGGGATCCTCTTGCTTTCCRGTACCCTCTTTGCCTCCTTCGCCACCTCTTTCTCCATCTCTTACCCGCTTCCATTGCTCATGCAAGCWCCAAGGCGACGCATTAAAATTGCTCTGCGGCTCTGGATCCCCGTTCTGGTGCTACGGATAGTTGTGGCGGAGGCGCGGAGCCACGGGGCTGCGCAGAGCGTGCTCGGCTTGGCAAGTACAGCTTTGGTGCTTCTCTCCTGCTCCTTGTGCCCTTACGGCAGGCATAAGTGTGCGTGCTCGAAGAGGCAGGATGTGTGCGTGTGAAAATGATGTGGGAACTCCAGTTATGTGCTTCCTATGGAAATATGAATTGCAACGGTTAATGTACTGTTTAATTAACATTTGAAAAAAAGAAATGCTTTGTTACTGATTTAAAGGCTCTCTTTCAGAATGTTTTCATACCCTCATAGTTGTACGTGTGCACTTTTTTCCCTCACATGGAACGTGTGTTGACTTCTGGGAGAGATTCTAGTGCAATGACCAGCTGTTAAAATTTGTATAACTGAAATGCASTGTTCCTGTAGCATAGAGAAAATGTGCTGAACAAAATTTAAAAGGCCACTGTTATTGATGAATATTGTATGTGGGAGGGAGGGGCAGAGTGGCCTGTATTCAGAAGGTCCAGGTAACTATTTAGCTTGCTTTAAATACTGTTAAGCTTACATGGTGAGGCTAAAGAAATACGGTGGAAAGTGAAAGTGCTGATTTGAGAGTATTTGGAAGCTTTTGTCCTTCCTCCATCTTCCAAAATAATAATTTTGATTCAAATTCTATTCRCCTTCCTTCTGTCTGTTCATATAATGCCTGTGTTTTGAGAATGAGTCAGTAAATCTTGCTGTTTCTCTGTGGTTCCTTGGCTTCTTGAACCCAAATAATACTGGTAAATATCAAGTGATATATTGAACATGGTTTTATTTGCAAACCTTCTGTAGTATTTGGAGGGGCGAGGAGGGGGTGAAACCTGTGTCTTATCCCATTTTTGTTAGCTAGCAAAATATACAGCCCTTTGAAAGCACTGCTCTCACTTTCCATGAGCTGTGAGCCAGTTCTTTTTATTGCTCTGCCAAGCCCAGTTAGATTGATATAGTCACTAAAATTGCAGTCCATTTTCTGATATAAATCTTAGTAAAATATGATTCCAGATCCAGGGGACTATTCGCCCACATGCCATTATCATCCTCCCGAATACCAGTGGAATGGAACTTTTACTTACCTATGAAGATGAAGGCATATACATTGATATATATGGGCACTTCACAAAGGAAACTGTTTTACAGTGGGGCGAAATGCCAGCATCTGTAGGTATGTATGAAAAATAGCACTTTATTAAGTGTCAGATCCTGCTGTATGAAACCGGACTTCTTGTTCAGATGGTTTGTATCCATCTGAAAGTTGTTGTTTGGCACAGTAAACAACTTCAGAGCAAYGCAGATGTCTATAAAGAGTAAACAGATTTATGCAGGGTTGTGTTAAGACAGGCAGTGATGGTAAAAGGGTCTTTGCATTTGTCCTATAGAATTTGTGTTCATATAATATTCTTGAACATCATGTGGTTACTGTCCAGGCAAATTCACCGAGGATGCAGCCTACCACCAGTTTTCACTTGTGTCATTTAAATGAATTACAAAGAAAAAGGGTGCTTTTGTTTCCTATTTGAATTGTTCATAGCATTTTATGTAGAAACTTGTAACTTTRGAGGACTCATGGAAGAGGTCTTTAACCACTGCCAGATGACCCCTTGATTTGACCACCTTGAAATCAGGGTACTGGAACTGGGGGATATTTCTGAAAGACTCTCAGTCTCTCCAGGCGTCTAGTTGACTCTGTGGGAAGGTGCTTCACCTTCACTGGAGAGCTAACAGTCTGGGGAAGAACAAGAACCATCCCAGGCAGATTTTTGCTTTTATTATTCAGTACTTTTAATTTCTATTTTGGCTCACTCTTGATGATCTGCATCTTAAATCAACCATACAAAGAAACAAAAACAAAGCCCATGGTTGTGCAAAAGTATTTCATCAGCAAATGGACACTCCAGTGAAGAATTGGGCATGTTCAACCCTTTCCTTCTACTTATTTCCTTTTACTTGTAGGAAACTAGGTCCCTTCTAGGGAAACGCCATTAAAACCAGTAGAGTGGCACCAGAGTAAATACAGTCATCTAGAAATGCTGGACCTAGTCAGCAGTACTGAGGTCAAATAACCCACCTCCAGAATGCAGATTTTTACAGAACAACTTGGCTTTTTGTTTTCTTTTTTCCTGTCAGAATAGAATTGAACATCAGAACTGCTTCAGTTATAAGAATCAGTTCAGTTCTGTATAAGTTTGCAAGCAAGCTATCTACTGTGTCTTTCCAATAAATAACCTCCACACCACTTTTCAGCTCATACCCAGAGCTGCAAGGCATAATTAAAATATATCAAGTCAGTTCTACATTTTTCGTATTCAACTATTCAATGGTCTTTGATATGTTGAAATTTTACATCCCTTCTGAATTAATGTTAGAAGCACCATAAGAAGTAATGATCAAAGAGCAATTACCGAGCAAGGTCAGTAAAAGAAGTGTTCTAATGAGAAGTATTGAGTGTAATTGGAAGCTGTATTGAGAAATGTTATCTGAAGGAGGCAGAAGCTTTCAAGAAGCGCGTCCTTATGGGAAGTACCTTCCTTAGGCATTATGAAAAGCAGCAAGCTTACTTAACATGAAGATTTTAACTGTAGTGTTTTACCCACCTTATAATGTGCATATATATGATGTGTGATTTGCATAAACTCCTTAACTCTTTAAATGCTTCTATTTTCCTACATTAGTTTCATCAATTTAGTGTCCTTTTTTCCTAACTTGGGAAGTAACAGAATTTTAATGCTGCCTTTATATTAGAAACTAACCTTAATCTCATGTTTARTAATTTTTAAAGCATGGATATTATTTGTAACTACTACATCTTCTGGTTGTATTATTCTTACTATCTGCTATGTCCCTAAGAGTGCCTCATATTAATAAATCAATGTGCTTCAAAGATGGATAGGAAAAAATGGAATGAAAAAAAGGGCTTTGTTAGATCCTGCTTTAGGAAAAAAAGATATGGCAAGAAGGATTGCTTAGATTTGTCTCCTATTTGGAAATTAGCGGTTTGTGAAATGGGCCGCTGGTTGTCCTCAGAGATTCCTCCCTTGATGTAGAATATGCAGGAATGCCTCAAGAATGACCAAAGACAGCTTAAGATTTTTTTTGTGTATTTCTGAAACTACTGTAGCGTGAAACCCAGAGAAATGTGAGGTAAGTTTGTAAAGCATTCCTGTGGCCTGGAATTCACTTCACTTTTTTTTTCCTTTTTTTTTTTTCCCCTTGCACATACCCAGCTAGCATTGAAGTGAAAAATGCTTCACCAGTTGGGACCAACCGAGTATGTGATACTCTCTGCCAATTAATTTCTCATTTAAAAGTTCTTCAGCACACATCTGGCTAGGCATGACATTCTCAATTTCACGAGGGTGATTACATCTTAATAACAGGAATGCCATTTGGACGGTCTCTTTTCCCCTGCTCACACAGCCATTCCTCCTGCTCTTTGGTGTACAATCTGTGACAACCATTTGCATGGGAAAAAAAAAAATATTGACCATTTTTGTTACTGTATTTTAGAGCAGTGGAACAAATAGGAAGAGGGATGGAGACGACAGTTCTGAGGATGGTGTCCTAGCTGCTCAATTTTGCAGTATAGAAGTTAGGAGCCCGGCGTGTGCTAGTTGTTTAACTTAGGTCAGTCTAGAGCAATGGGCACCAACAGCTAGGAAGGCATCCCGTCCTGGAACAGGTAGCTTGTACAAGCAAAATGTTTGTGGCAATTTTCTGTCTTTGTTCTTTTTTCATGATTTATACTTCTGCACGTTCCACAGCTGAAGGGTGGCRGTCTCCAAACAGCCCCCCTCTCGGTTATCCTTTGAAATATTCCACGATGTTGAGAGCTCTCGCGTTGCTGCTGCAGCAGCATTTTTAGTATAGTGGATCTAGATTTCCTTGGAACAAAAATTGTCGATTGTAGCCTATTTGAATGAGGTCTTGTGATATGATTCAAGATTTATTTCATTTCCAATTGGAATCACATTGTAGCTAAGAACAAATTGACCCAACCCATTACTCAAAACTTGTTACAAGTTTTAAACAGAGAGCTCTGTAACTTTTTTTAATAATTGTTCATGAACAGTTGAACAGTTCTTATTCATTTTCTTGCTCCTTTGACATTTGTGGCTCCAGACAAAACCAGTACCTCTTACGATAGAGGTTTGAATAACCATGCTGTTTGCATGGCCAAATTTAGTTTTGCATGATTTATCATTCTCCTGGAATTTCCAGACTTTAATAGGTCAGACAACAGTCTGTATGAGTTTATTCCAAAGTTTTTTCTGTGTTTCAGGAATAAAAAGGCCTTGTCTTAGCCTTGGGGTTCTATCTAGCCATCGTTTGCTCAGTTCTTATTTTCTTTAATTATTTTGAATTAAAACTTTTGTAGTTGGTGAGAATATCCTGACTGACTATGGAAAAAGGGGTAAAAAAAAAAAGTTGTATTGTAATTGATGGATTATCTGTGAGTCCAATTGATGAGCCCAGTTGGAAAGATAAGAGGATTATAAGTGGATTAAGTCTCTGTTATATATTATATATATGTTAAGTATAAAAAAAGCATTTAAAAGTTGTTATATATAATGTTATATATGATATTAATTATATATTAATATTAAAATATGTTAATATTTTTTGACTGCTGGTGCTAACATCTTCAGGGAGAAAAGGCCACAGTTCCTGCTTTAGATCACATTGGCATATTCTCTTTTTTTATTATTATTTTTATTTTTCAAGCTCAGTTTTGGAGGCAAAGATTTTGCCCTTTAAAATATATTAGCAAATGTGTTGTGCATGATTCTCTTTGAAACAGGCTTTGGAGATTCCCACTGTATACTGGACTCCCATAAATGACTGGTTGCATTTACACTCTAATTTGCTAACAGTAACAGGCAAATACACTAGTAGCATTTTTTAACTTATCAAATTCGTTTTTTTTGGGTTTTGTTTTTTTCTTTCAGCTTATCTTCAGTCAAATCAGGTCATGGGCTGGGGAGATAAAGCAATTGAACTACGCTCTGTGGAAACGGGCAATCTGGAAGGAGTATTCATGCACAAGAAAGCACAGAAGCTCAAATTTCTCTGTGAAAGAAATGACAAGGTACAGATATCACAGCAGTGTGGTGGGTTTAGCAAAAAATGAGTCCTATTTGACTAAGAAACTGAGACCATTTAATTTTTTTTAACTTYGTGTTTAAATTATCAAACTATTTCTTACACTAGTGTAAGAAATAACACAGAAACGCCTCACTGTGGATGTCCTGAATTTTGGCAGAGCTCTTTCCTGACTCCTTTAGCACCAGCCCTTACAGATTTCCCACAAGCCGGCCAGGCTGCAGCCTAGCAGATGCATTGGAGAGAGCTGCTGGATACTCATAATGCCCAGCGATAAAACTGCCCCTCCTTGGCTACCAGCATTATGTGCAATTTGGAGCAGCCATTGAGGAAAAGAAAACYCTCTAATAGTTGAGATATCACGAGCACTGGAGTATAGATAATCAAGTATGATTTCTTACATATGGTATGGCAGTGCTTGATAAATGTTTTCTGAAATCTGTTTAGTCCCGCTGTTATATTTAGAATTTTTTCCCGAAAGCTGTTTAGTTGTTTAAAATGTACTCTCTTGCCCTTCCGAATAGCAAAAAGGAGTATGCTAGAAATATATCATAGTTGTAGCAAAAGCACTGTTTTGCTTTCAGAAAGTTTTTCATGGAATTAAAATGGAATTGGAATCTATACATCACTCTMTTTGGGCCACTGTTGTTCTCTCAGATTTCCTCTATGGGTAAAAATAYTCTCATAAATGTAAACTGACAGCTTATCTTTTTTTTTTTCTTTTCAAGGTATTCTTTGCATCTGTACAGTCAGGAGGCAGCAGTCAAATTTACTTTATGACTCTCGGTCAAAATGTGCTATTCAACTGGTAAATCACATCAAAATGAAGGATGCTTTGAATTCCCTCTAGCTAGCAGTGTAAAATGCTTGGAGGTAATACAGACAAATTTGCACTTTTTACCTACAAGAATTCTGACATTATTAACTTATCAAAATTCATACCCTTTCAGTTTAGAAAGAATTCCATTTTCCTGTCAAATTATTGCAAACATGTTTAGTTCCATTTTCTAAAATGTGTTGCAAACCAAGACTGTAGTCACAGTGTTAGCAAAGAGCGACTGTAATGAAGAATGTAGTCAATATAACAAACTCCTCTCCTATGAAAAGTGCACCTTTTTCTTTTTTTCCACAGTGTAATGCAGGTAGCTTGAACTGAAGCCTTTTTTTCTTTTTTGGATGGCAACAGTACACATATATAAAACAGATCTATTGGGTGATAAATTGGAATCTGCTTTATTTTGGATTTGTTTTGCCTTGCTCTACACTTTAACAAAATTATTACTGTTTCAGCAAAAGATATTTGTCCAAGTCTTCTAACCGGTGAAAAAGCAACTTTCACTGGTTCATTAAGGGAGCTAATGCAGATTTGGGCACTGAGGGATTGTATCTTGTCCTAGGTAGAATGGGTGCATCTCACATCAGAGCTGGAAAAGCAGCTAGTCTAGGTGTGTGTCCCATATGGCGGATTTTACAAAATAGAGGGGACAGGCTTCATGTTTCTCTCAGGGCTGGATGTCTCAGCCTTTAGACACAGTTACTGTAGAATGTATTTGTAAAAATAGTTTAAATAGCTTGTCAGAATCATTTATGCATAAATGTATTATGGACCTGAACCTTTAAATTTTTACTGGAACAAGTGACCCGTACTCATGTGAGTTGATTTGAAGGCACTACCCTTGTGTRTGAGGGTGCAGGATCAGGCACCTGGGGTTTTTTTGGCCTCCCTTCTTGCTCTTTAAGCATGAAGTTTTCATGTATTTGTATGTAAATATTTCCGAAATTGTTATCAAGATTAACAAATGTACTCTTAGTTACRAAAATATCCAAAGAGTTGATATATAATAAATAGAAAATATAAATAATTTCAGGTGCTTTGTATGCTAATTACATCTAAACAAAGCTGCATCCACCAGTGGTATTAGTGCCAGTGTATTTGCCATGAAACTGTTCTCAGGGGCTTGTAACTTGGCCATAAAACTATATAAACCTTCTAGTATTAAATTGTTGGGTTGAATGCAATCATCAGATGAATTTTTTGATGTGTTTTGAAAGTGTAAAGCATCAAATAAAAAGCAATATACAAAAGAGCTCATTCCAGATGTTATACAATATGGATGACACTGCAGAAGTGAAATCATTAGCTACAGTGTTTGAAAATGGTTATTTTTTACTTGAAATCTGTGATGCTGAAAGGTGCAGGGAAAGTGTATTGGAATATCTGGTCGTCTACCTCAAGGATGATGATTCAAAATTGACAAAGAAGAGGCAAAATTACAGATGTTAGAACTGGTAGCTSTTCTGTACAGTATGTCAAGTTAGTGTTAGTAGATGTGTTGTGACTGAAACGTGCTCGGATTGCAACCTTCAGCTCCAGAACTGGGGTTCTTCTCCAGAACTGTGTTCTTCAGCAGAGAAGTCCAGGAATGAGCCCAGGTGGGGAGCAAGCACCGTTTTCACTCCCAGTGGTGGCACCTCAAGCGCTGCAGGGCAGGCTGGAGATGTCAATACTGTGGCCATGGGCTTTGGCTACGTGGAGGACTGCACTTTCCAAAGTTTTTAACTTAGCACTTTTCATGAGTTTATCTACAATTGCGTAGTGTTTTTTATGAAGTATTTTCCTCTTAAATGTTTTAACTTGCAAAAAATACAAGCCTAAGGACGTGCTAAAAATATGTTGTAGTTGCACATTCAAAGTGGATTTTTTAATGCACACAAGTAATCAAATTTGTGCACAGACTTAAAATCTGAATGGTATACAATGCCCAGGAAGAGCTGCATACAATCAATAAGTCTCTATTTAGTAGTATTCCTGCCTGCATTCCCATGCTACTGAACATGGAGCTTGTTTGGTTCATCTTGATTCATCATTTAAAAAAAAAAAAAAAAAAAAAGTGAAAGAAATACAGACAAAACATATTTTGCTAGTAATCCAAAATACAGTTTATTAGCTTTTGACTTAAAAAATGAGACACTGAAGAAAAAGACAAAATTCATTTTGTACCCCATGCATATACAAAGGGTGTTTTCAAAACTGCTTTTGCTACAAGCAATCAGTGATCCAGGCTGCCACATAGATTTTTAAAATGTGCTTGTCATAGCCACCTCTATGTAACAGGGGAGGCATGTGAATTTTTCCCCCACCACCTCTGTTTTTGGTGTGCACAGGTAGGCGGCAGCTTTTTCCTGACGCAAGGCACCAGTTCAGAAGACTTAGTAGAGGCCATGGGCACTTGGAACAGCTCATGGCAAGAGATTAAAGAAGCAAATGTAACTGAACTTTTTAAAAATATATATTATTGTAACAAAAAAAAAATATAGGAGTAAGTTAAAACTGTAAAGCTGTCTAGCTGTATACCAGGAAAAAAAAGTTTTAGAGAGGGAATGTGCATTATTGCATTAAGAATTTAATCTCTCATTCTGCTCCCCTATGTTTTTTTCAGATTATAATTCAAGGTATTGATTTTTTATGGCTCTTTTCCTCCCCATATAAAATTCAGAGCCATGTGGTTTGCGTTACATTCATGTGTAAATATGAAAACACTCAGGCCCATATTGGTAAATGCTTTAGAGGACTTAGAGGTGGGATTCTAAGTAATAATGACGCACAAGGAGAAGGACGTGTGTATAAGTCCATCAAGAGAAAATCAGAATGGATGACGAAGAGCTCAGAGAGGTTGAGAAAAGTAGTTGGAGAGAAAGGAAATGACTGAYGAGAAGAGAGAAGCTGAAGGTGAATAGGAGTAGCCAGAGGGGGACATGGGGATGTCTAGAACTGCCTTGCTAGGGGCAGGGAGAGAGAAGAAGAGATGCCGAAGAGGGCGACCAAAGGGACAGAAAGGTATTTGGAGTGACTGAAGGTCTGAACGCTGAATGGGAGTTCCAAATAACTGTTAAAAGTGCAAAGCAAAAGTTCAAAGGCTGGAGAGAAAAAAATGACCCAAGTTGTTAATGCCATAAGTCTAACTATGCAAAAAATGTATACATTTTTTATTTGTTTTGTAGGGGTTTCCCTAGCTGTATCCTTTTGCTAACTTTTAAAAGCAAGGTGTGAACAGCTGAAATGGGTATTTTTTTTGTTCTGAAGTCACTTTGATGTCAATAAATATTGTAAGTGGAGAAGATTAGAGTATGAGGGATTGATATATGCAGTATCCTAATGTCAGGTGGTGATATTATATTTGACGAGACAAGTTTATGCTAATTTTATATTGTATGGGACCACTCATTTAGGAATGGTGAATACCGTTCTGCAGCCTAAACCTATACATGTGACTTAAACTGGGAACAATGCAAGCTATGTACTGTACATCATGTATGTTTTTTTATTATTCCCTAATGATTAGATTGTACATTTGAAAAGGTAATAAAAATTATCTGAAAACAAAAATGAGTATTTTGCTTGTGAAGTTCCATTATTATTGGTATAAGCCTACTSTAAAAATCATAGCAAGTTTTGTTTTTTAAATCACCTCAGTCTACCCAGGGGAACGTCTGGCTTATTCTGTTTGCCTGTAAAAATGAAACGARCATGTTTCCTTGCAGCGGATAAAGATGTTGAGGTGGCAGTGYGGGAGAGATGCCAGGGAGGATGGCAGCGTGCGCTGTGCTGAGTGCTGCTAATGAGCTTTAYGAGCGCGTTTCTGTGTCTGTCCCTCGTTACACGTACGGCAGGTAGGACGGGGGGCAACGAGGCYGGAGCGCGATGACAGCCGGCAGGCAGTGACGCTGCAGCAACCGCCTCCTGTGCGTGTTTATCAGCTCAGCGCCAGCAGCCCCAGATTTTTCCTCAAGTGTGCTCACTCAGTTGGCTTTGCACCATATAAAGTGTATGTACRGCTCTGTATAATAAGGCATGATAACACATTCTAAGTGTACCATTTGAGAGCGGAAATTGGGAAATTAAGCACTGAAATCAGTGTGGGAGTTAGGGTGAGGGCATGAGGCAAGATTTCTAGGATACCTATATATTTAATGAAGATGTCTCCTTCCGCAAGGTTTTATCTGTCTCTTCCAGCCTAGTGGTGCGTGAAAGTTTCCTGTGTTTGATGTTTGGAACGGGATCTGTATCGGAAGTTTAAAGGATAACATGGTTGCTTGGCTGGGTAGATCAAACTTCTTGAGACAGTCATCGTTATTTCCATTAAAAGTTATTTCCGAGCTTCACCGGCAGTGTGTACTTGCATTCTTCCACCTCAGTGMCTTCAAAGGAATGTCTCCTTCCCAATAAAACACATAGAGCTTTTGTTTCAGTTCAGCTGTGTTTGTGCAGAGAAGTGTTTTTTTCTGGATTTTTATCTGCTTACCTGCCTTAAAATCAGGCACAATTTAATGAGTATAGCAGGGAAAATTCTGATTTCTGGCTTTGTCAGTGACTCTGTTCTGCAACATCCACTCTGCRCTCTTCTGTAAATACCGGAATTTTTCCGTGCATGACTAGTGGAGTAGGAGATGATGATAACAGTTTTTCACAACATTGACAATAAATGAGATGTTGTTTTCTAGCACCAGCATGGAAAAATCTTTTACCTGCCTCTATGTATGTGGAAAGACATGCAGGTCAGTATCAAGGATTTATTATTTTCAGGATTTTCAGGGTGCCCTTTATGGTTTTCTGCCTGTAAATAGGGGTTATCTTGGTAAAGAATAATAATATATGCAGGGAGAAATGCTGATTTTAGAAAGAACCTGTTTTTCCCCTTGCTTTCAGTACTGTCATATTTTGCACAGTTTCCATCTTCTGTGTCCACTACTATGTTTTCTTTCTCCCCTTAATTTTACTGAAACAGTCCTACTGTTTCCAGGCTAGGGGTAGTATTTGCAGTGGCTCCTAAGTACTGCTAACAATGTCAGCCTATGTAATCACCCCCCAGAGGCAGACGCTGRTACAGTTCATCATTTAAGTACACGCTTGATCTTAGAAGTGTGTGAATCATCATATTGCCTTTAATGACTTTTTTTTAATGTTCTGCTGGAACAGGTTCAATGTGATGCACTCATGATTCTCACATAGTCACCTATACACAAATCTTCACCCACCGTTAATGATTCTCCAAGCCCTTCCAGAGAAGTTCATTACTTCTAATTTCTAATACAGCTCTGGGTSTTATCCCCTTGGTCACATGCAGCAAAGTATCTACAGCAAGAGGAACTGACAGAGTTGGTCATAAAAACAAGCTGTCCCTAAATGAAACTTAATGGAAGGGCAGATTCTTCCAGAGCTGAAAATTTTGTAAGCAGAAAGACAGTTATTCTGCTTCAGTTTTGAAATTGGTATGTTAGCTAGACCTCTGCTGGGGAGCAAGAAGATAACAGGAATAAGTAGGTAGAAGGAGCTACGAAACTGTGCAATACATAAAAATTTCGTCACTGTAACTGATGACTCATTTTCATAGGTCAAAAAAGCCTAAGCCACAACCCCCCCGGGTGAGGCTTGTACTTAATGTGAAACATTCAGCCCATGCAACATTAATAAAAAGGTGTTTGGATYTTATTCATTAGTGCAATTTTATCAGTCCAAACAACTGATCATGTGTACATCAAAAAAGAAAAAAAAAGTCATTAAAATTTCATGCAACAGCCTGTCTTCAACATAAACACAACTGCTTTGTTTTAAACGTTCTCTCTAAGGGCTGCATTATTACATAAACCCAAGCATTCCAGCCCAAAGGCCAATAAAGGCTTGTTTCTATACCGCAGCTTCTAACTCGTCAAGCTGTTTTAAATGTTGCAAGCAACAAGTTTTCCGGTTTCCCTAAGGCAAATGCTCCAGCAGCTGAGAACACAACCACTCTCACGCTGAGCTCGGGGAGAGCTGCTTCTGGCYCAGCGTTTGAAGCAGTGCTAAACTGCAGCCCAGCTTCGGTCTTTCGCATTTACAAAGGCTTACTCCAGACCAGCAACACTAAAAATAAAAGAAACAGCTTCTCTTCTTCCTCTTCTTGTCCTTTTACCTTCCCCTTATCTCCTTATCCTGTAGTACTGCTTCATAGCCTGTTGCATTTCAAAAATACTCAAAAAAATCCAAAAATTTATTTTCAAAAATAAAACTTGCAGGCATTTATACATGGCACCAAAAAGAGCCAAATAATGAAGGGATATTAGAATCGGGACTATTTCAAGCAAGAGGCAATGAAGGCTAAACGCCAAGTCCTTAATTCCCAGATTTCCATTAATGCCACAAGTGACTGTGMTATCACAGAGGAGAACAGGACGGTCTCCAGAAACCACCGTGCAGTGGCGGTGGTTTCCACAACTAGGGATGTGTTCACCCTGCTGTGGATACAGGAATGAGGATTATTAATCTCGTCAAATGAAGAGAACTGAAGGAGAAGCAGGTGCAGTAAACGGTCCTGGGGATGATCGCGGGAATAAAGAGCCTGTTCATCGCGTGGCTCGTTTACCTGGCAGGGACAAACCGCCCCCTCGGCCGCGACGTACGGAAGGGCTGCAGGAGGAAGCGACGCGGGACGGCGGCCGCCCCCGGGCGCGGGGACAGCGGGGCGGCCGCCGGGGCCGCTCGCAGGGCGACACCCCCGCGGCGGCCGCGGCTCCTCCCTCGGGCTGCCCTGGCTGCTGCTGCCGCCGCCTCCCGGCACCGGCTCCGCCGGCCCCTCCCCCGCGACCGTTGGGCGGTTTGAACGGCCGCGGCGCGCGCGCAGCAGCCCCGTCGGCCGCGACGTACGGAAGGGCTGCAGGAGGAAGCGACGCGGGACGGCGGCCGCCCCCGGGCGCGGGGACAGCGGGGCGGCCGCCGGGGCCGCT